ATTTTTAATATGTTAAAAAATTTTAAAAAAAAACTTATATATGTAACTATATATTAACATTATCAAATTAAACCTTAATAGTTTAGTGATCTGTCAACGTTTTTTAATTGTAAATTATAATTGAAGCTACCAATTATCAAAGGTAGGTTATTTATAAAAAATTCATTTACAGTTTTAAAAATTTGTTTGCATTAGAGCACCACATGTACTTCTTTAATAAAATTTATATATAAAAAAAAATTGGAAAGTTATTTACCTGCAAGCAGGAGGCCAGAAAGCTAAAGCCTCCTCTTCGGACACATAAAATATGCTAAGAAAATCTTTCCATTCCAAAGCCTTCTCTGCTTGAGGGCTAAAGCTTGTGCCAAACCTCACATTGGTGGTTGGAGAATGCTCTTTGGTATACTTTTTCTTCTCATCAGCTGGAAGTCCAAAAAACCGATGAGTTGCAACCTTGACACTCTCCAGCACTTCTAGCGGCACACCATGGTTAACAATCTGAAAGAACGCCCATTTCTCAGCTGCATCACAGATTGAATTAGCAACCTCCGGATCTTCCAAGTTGGACATGTCAATAATGTACCAATCAAATGAGTGTTAACAGATATGTTAAATCAAATGATATACCAATCATTACTCAATATTTATTTGGTATATCTATGATGAACTCTATATAGATAAGAATAATCATCATTTTTCTTCAATCTTTATTAAAAATAAAATGTTGTGTACATAGTTTGCTTTATACCAAACAATACAACTTAAAAATAAAATTAAAAAAAAAAAGACGAGTTTTTAATATTAAAAGTTATTTTTATATTCAATAATTTTTATTTTATAATTTATAAAATAAAACAAGTGACTTTTTCTTTTCTTTTTTTTTTTTACACATTTCACAGAAATCAAACCTAAGTCCTCACTCCTTAGCCTTGTATTTTAGAATTTTCATTTGCTAATTAACATAATCGACTCAATGATAATCCATTTAGTGAAAATTAAGTGAGAGTTGCTTAAAATATACAAACAAACAAACTCCTAATTGGTTAAACACCCTTTAAAGTATCATAATTTATAAGGGTGGGACAATTTTCTGCCACTCTTGTGCTCTTATGTTATATAAATTCTGTTACCTAATTACCAAGTCAACCAAATTTTTAATTGCATTATAGGGTGGGACTGTGTCTTAACTTTCCCATCCCCTAAATTTGTACACTTTCAAAGAAGATATGCAATTTTTGAAAATAGGCAATGGAAAAACATGAAACATTAATTTTACGTAAAATCTGATCAAGTTATTTTCAATCTCAAAAATCTTTAAAAATGAGTAAAATATAAACCATTCTTATCTAAATTCCTTTATATTGTAGTTATACAATAGTAATTGATCACTCTTTTGATTTCTCAAATACTCTATATATTATTCTCAAGATTTTAACATGAAACATTTAACTTAAAATCTGAACTACTTATTTTCCGAGCTGTTGTGTTACGTTTTAGACTGGGGGGTTGATTCAATGTTTCGCTATGTACGACAAAATCAGTTTTCGACTTGAGGGCATGTGCTGCTGGTCATGAAAGACGGCTGAACAAATTAATTGTTTCAAGTGCGTAATTCGCTATTCAAGAAAGAGTTCCTCTGAATTCCACTTCCCCATCATGTTGTCTCCGGGGAATGTGTGCAGCCTAACTTGAACAAGAGAGGATAAAATTAGAAGTAAAGGTTTATGACATGTGAGGAGATAATGACTGTGGACTGAAGTTTTTGTTTTGGACAATGGGGAAGAGACAAATTTCCATGTTACTTGCAAATTAAGCTTTCTAATGAATCACTTGTAATTGCTTTCACAATATCCTTTTGGTTTGTCTAATTTAGTACAAATTAAGGAAGTATTAATTATATTTTTTTATAATTAATTTATATAAAAAAATATAAATTATTTTTAAATTTATTTATTATTTAATTAAAATAATTTAAATGATATAAATGTTAAAATTAATATTTTATTTTTATATTTTTTATAAAATTTTATTATAAAATAATTTATTTAATTTATTTTAAAGATATAAGTTAAATATTTTTTTTTATTACCTCAAAATATATTTGGGTATGTTTACATTTGTAGACTTTTTAGGGAATATTCCTTTTTCTGGAAAGCCATAAGCATCTGTGTGAAATCATTTTTTAATCATTGAAAATATTAATAAGATATGAGCTTGGTGGGCTGTTCAAAGTGCATTATTGGGTTTTGTCAAGAGGCATTTTGGCAGCTAATCCACGGGTGACAGTTCGATAAGCTCAAGGTGATTTGTTCCCTTATATTTATATCAATTACTTAGCATAATTGGGGAACAGAGAAACAGATTGATCTTTCAAGCAAAAGAGATTGATACAGATAGTTTGGCGGAGATTATACAGATCAAATCTTTTTTATGGTTAAAGTACTCAATTAATGATTGTGGATTTTCTTTATATAATTAGAATTGTAATTTCAAATTATGTATTAAATTAATAAACATGTAATTATGTCATATCCTTCTTGGGAAATGATATTTACACACTCTCCCATTACACACTCCATCACACACTCACTCTGTCTCTATTTCTTCCGTTAACCCAACAGCTCTCCTATTCACTCAGTACTAATTCTTTGATTTTTCAACCTTCTTTTTTCTTTCCCTTCTTCCTCTTTTCTTTTTCTTCTTCTTTCCCTCTCCTCCCCTCTTCTTCCTTCTCTTTCCCCCTCTGATCTGTTGAGGAGAACCCAGATTGGCTTCTTAAGGAGAACCAAAATCTAGGTTCTCTTGAAGTTCTCCTGGAGAACCCGATCTGGAGAACCCAGATTGAGAACCTGATCTGGGTTCTCCAGATGGAGAGAGAAAAGAAAAAAAAAAAAAAGAGGAAGAAGATAATGAATTTGTTAGAATTTTTACAAATTTGGTGATATAGTGTATTGTTTGGTTGATAAGAAAATTGGAAACTTTCCTCCCACATTTCAAACCCAACTCCATCTCTAAAAGAGAGAAAAGGTCAATCGGAACAGCAAGAGGGAGAAAGGAAAGCAGAGAGAGCAAGAAACATGCATCCGGAGTTAACGGATTAAATAACAGAAAGTGAAAGTGTGTGACAGAGGGTGTAATGAGAAAGGGTAAATGTATCATGGTCCATCCTTTTTACATGAGTAAAATTTGATGTGAATATGTAAAAATACCTTCATACTCTAAATTAATAAAAATTTATTTGGTTGATAAAAAAATTAATAAAATATACTTATACATTGATAATTCAATTTGTGTTACATAATATTTGGTTTCTTATAAATTTAAAAAATAATTATAAAAGACTTATATAAATTACCTTGGTTACAATACAATATAATATGAATAAGTACAACTACAATATAGTACAACATAATACCACATGTGTTTTTTTTTTTTTTATTAACTTATCAATATCCAATAATCACATTGAATTAATTAATTCACAATCAAGTCGCATTAGACTTCATTAAAAGAAAAAGCTCTTTCAATATTTATTTTTATACTCAAGAGATCCAAACTCGATATTTTATTAAAAAAAAAAATTATATTCCTTCAACTCAAACTAACATATTGTTAATCACGTACCACATGCATTACACCATATAACAAACCTCAAAACATAATCGATCAACTGTCAATTGATTATTTTCTCCCCCTTTTTTTCTTCTGCAGCAAGCCTTCTAATATCCTTTGAAATTGAATTTCTATAATTTTTTATGTAATTATCCCCCCTCATAAAGATACGGAAACGAGAGGGTGAATTCATTGAATCAGCAAAGGATCTCAAAATTCTTTAAAAATGAATAAAATATAAACCATCATTTATTTTTAAATAATTATTTTCTCTTTAATTTCTGTTGGGTGAATTAATTGTTTCTTTTCTTTTTGGGGATGGGTGAATATTCATTGAATAAATCATTTTCTGATTACAATGCCAGTGACATTATTTGGATTTTACTTTTTAAGATGAATAATCATCACCTAAAACGATGATGAAATCACTTTCTGTTCTTTACAAATGTCAAGAATTTATCGGCACAATTTGATTGTTTGAATCAGAATACTATTTATAAGTATAAGCTGTAAATTATAAGTAGAAATTAACTCTCAATGTCCTACAAAATACTTGGTGGAAAAACTTATCAGGGCAGGTTTGATTGGCAGTTTTGGGGAAAAAACTGCTTTTAAAAGATGAGAATGCTAGCGATAATCTAAAATTATAAATTTACAATTATAATCTATTATTAAATATGCATAGAATGATAGATCCAGTAGAAAAAAGAATTATATAATAATATTTTATAATTATAAGTTTAAAATATCACATATCGATAACAGAAAAATGTGTATCAATTTATATTATAAATAATTAGGTAAAAAATATTTTAAAATTACATTGTTTTAATAAAATATTATTAAAAAATTAAAATATTCTAATTTTTAAAATAAGAATGAGATTGTTGTAATCTTTTCTCATGATATTTTATTAAAATAACATAAATTTAAGATATTTTTCTATCTAATTTTTTGTAATATAAATTAATATCCATTAATTTCTATATATAATGTTGTAATAATTATATTATTTTTCTTCCAAAAACTATTATAATAGTTTCCTCTGAAAACTACTAACCAAACAGGCTCAAAGTACCTTCTGCACGTACTGAGTGTTTGGGCCCAAACAAGCTGTTATAATTAAGGCCTTGAAGGTCGTTGAAGTGTTGAACTGTTGAAGTATGAAATTACCTGCTTTTCTACCTCAAAACCTTAAGGCCTTTATAGGTGATTTGGGCTCCCAAGGCACATCCTTTTTCTTTTATTAATTTGAGGTTATTTAATGGCATTATGGGCTTACCATGCCTGCATGATCCTTCTGGGTTGCTGGATAAACGAAGAAAACAAGAAAGACGAATAACAAATCAAGGATTGGTATGTTGGAGAAATTATTCTGTATCACGTGAATGAAAATGTATACCACTGCAATAAATGTACAATTCAATCTGTAGCCAAGTAATTATTCATGGCAGTTGTCCACTCTGCCATTTTTGCTGGGGGAGCCCGGAGTAGTTTCTTGAAAAAAATCTCTAGAAAAAAAAGGCTTCCAGCTCTTGTAATCAATTATGTGGGTAATATAGTTGCTTATATTGTTTACAACAAACAATTGATGATTATATCCAATTATGTTGGCAATATGGTTGGATATATTGTTCCATTGAGATTTCTGCCAGAAAGTTTATTTCCTCTTACTAATTGGCTCCATTTTATAAGCTTGGCTTTCTCAAATTGTGGGAAAGTCCAAATCGAACACCCCCTTATGGTTTCATCATGAAGCCTCGAAGGGAAAGTTTTTTTATTATTATTATTATTTGAACAATTTGATATGATGCGGAATCAAATCCGCCCAAGGAGAAAGAGAAAGAGAAAGGGAGTGCACTTATTTAATGTGATTAATGTCACTAGATCCGAATGATCAATTACACTCAAAATGAAAGTTTAATCTTGTAAGAATTTGAAATTTTAAGTTGAAATTTCAAGTGTTTATGATATAGATAAAGCCCCTAAAGGTCCTTAAAAGCAAGTTCAGTATGGTTCAAGTTTAGTCGAGACCATGGTATTAGTAAGTGCTACAATGATAAACAGAATTCGCAAGAGATTCCTATTCCAATAACTTGCAATAGGAACTAACTTCCCCCTGCTGATGAAAAAAAAAACAGCTCCCCACAAATAATAATAATAATAATAATAATAAATAACAAATAATAAATCAAGAGCCACAGGGCACATAATTGAAGCAGGGATAGGATTGTATCTTCTAACCCGATTAGAGAAACATTACTGGAGTAAGTAATTCAACACT